ACTCTCTCCCACCCGGGCTCGGGCTCAAGACCCAGCTCCCCTAGCAAGTGGAAGCCCCTCCGAAGAGGGAGGGTGTGACGGACACCGCTGTGGTGGAGCTCAGCGCAGAGCCAGGCTCTGTGGCTCTGACCCAGCGGCTGGCACACGCATGGCCCCGTCCCTCAGCCTGAGCCCTCTCTCCAGCAGTCAGGAGACAAACCAGCTTTGGGGCCGCGCCCAGTGGGTGTTGCCAACTGCGATCCCGGCCTCTGAGTCCTCTCCCTCCTCCCCCCCACCTCCCCTCTCTTCCTCTCCTGGCTTCTTCCTCCCAGCGGCTGGCCTGTGGGTGGGTTCCCCAAGATGGATGGAGCTGGGCATGAGAGGTCAGGTCCCTACCCGTGATTGCGTCAGCTCTCCGTGGGGAAGTCAGGGTGGGATCCTTCAACCTCCTGGCCCCCATTTTTCTTTCAGGCACTTGGGTGGGAGTAGTCGGCCTTAGTTCCTAGGACTATCGGTACTAAATTAGATGCCGAAGAAATCAGGCTGGGTTTGTTCCCCTCTTTAAAAAGAATTTTTTTAAGTGGGGCATGGATGGAAGTGAGGAGTTAGACCCCCATTCTTGGGGTGAGGGCACAATTCATTTTCTGCTTTTGGTTGCTAAAAGGATCATGAATTAATATTTCCCATGAGCAGAGCCCCGAGACCTGTCAACCTGCCTGCAGGTTCATTCCCTGCCCACAAGTCTCAAACTGGGCCAAGTCTGAGAGTGATATACAATTTACAATTCTGAGAAAAGGTCAGATTCCCAAATCTCCTGGCTCTTTTATCTGTCCCTCCCCCAATATCCAGGCACCAAGGTTCTCCCTGGTTGTCCCCACTCCCTCCCAAACCCTCCAACCCTGACAATAGCCCATCATTGTTATCTCATTTGTTGTTTGCAAAGCACTTTACAACCATTGTTGTGAGTTTTTTCTCTTATTTACAAAGTACTTTACAACTATTAATACAAGTCTTTCCTCTGGATGTGGGGTAAAGCTAACCCACTTCCGAGAGCTGGATTCCCACTGCCTTCTAAGTGGTTGGTCCGATTCCCGTGATGCTCGGCACTGGGTGGGTGGGGCTTTCATAATTCAAGGCCATGGCTGTGCCCTCCTTCCTTATTAGAAATCGGGCTGCTGCCCACTTGCCCTCGGGAAGTTCCACCCAGTGCATGTCTGATGAAGTGGTTATTAGCAAGGTTCACACCATCAGATGATGGTGCTGGTTTGGGGCTCCCAGCCTGTCACCTCCCACCTCCCCCAGAGTGGGTGCTAAACAGCAGGGTTTGAACCTCTTTCTCTCCCTTCTTCAGTTCAAGGGGGGAAATATATGTATGTGTCAGTTGTAAGAGAGTAAAACAGTCCCTTCCCCCAGAGTGTACTGGGAGCTGCTTGAGGTGATCAAAATTTTTTTTTTGTTTCATTCTTTTTTTTTTTTTTCCACATTTTAAAAAGTAAGCAATTATAACATTACAGAACGGTGTTTTAAAAAATGAAAAGTCCAGGGACTTCCCTGGTGGCACAGTGGTTAAGAATCCGCCTGCCAACGCAGGGGACACAGGTCCGAGCCCTGGTCCGGGAAGATCCCACATGCCGCGGAGCAACTAAGCCCATGTGCCACAACTACTGAGCCCACGTGCCACAACTACTGAAGCCCACGTGCCTAGAGCCTGTGCTCCGCAACAAGAGAAGCCACCGCAATGAGAAGCCTGCGCACCGCAACGAAGACCCAACGCAGCCAAAAATAAAATTGAGTAAATTTAAAAAATAAAAAAATAGAAAATAAAAATGAAAAGTCTATACAATTTGATTAGCCTAATAGAAGCCCCTTCCTGGTAGTCTCAGCTGCCATCACAGTGTATCTGGTGTTTTGCGTGATGCATTTTTCACTTAACGTGGGAGGTAGGCATTTTTCTTTATTGTTAGGTTGTCTTTGTCATCATCATTTACAATGATGTAACGTTCCATTGAGTGGGTCGGATGGCAAGATTTTCTGGTAGAAAATATGGAAACTTTGCCCATTTGGAGGTGTGGTGGTTTGTAAGGAGATGTGGTGCATCTGAGGGATGCCTTTAGGAAGCACAGCCTTCACCTCCCCATCCTTCCTTTGGCTGCTGTTGTTAACACCTGACTCTTCAATCTGGGGCTTCTGTACTTGCTACCCTAGGCAAGAAGTCTCTGCCACCGTAATGCCCACCTTGTTTAAGATATGTGGCCCAAATGAATTCAGTAATATTTACTCCTTATTGATACTTTGGCCCGATCTGCCCAACCAGGTCTTTAGCATTCTGAGCTCCTGTGACATCTATCGGAGTGCTGAAATAGCAGATGCTCAGTAAGTATTTGTCGGTGACAAATACACACTTGCCAACCTCCAGTGCCTTTCCCCAGCCTGTAAAATGGTTGCTTGACTGTGTAACCCATTCCGTGTGGCAAGAAGGCATTTCTAAGGCGAGCCTCGGTGCTGGGTTCTCAAGGTAGTCAGGCCAGTAACCAGTAGAGAGACCAGGACTGCTAGGGAGGCTCCTGGGCTGAGATCCTGTCCTGGGTATAAAACAGTAAATATGAAGAGGAAAGGGAATCTCCCCTCCAGAAAAGAGGAATGGATGGAGAAAGACCCTCTCCCTGTGCAGCCTTCTTTAGATGAACTGGAACATGGGAAAGAGGTTGGTTTTCTTATCTTTAAAAGGAAAAGAATGTGAATCTTCATCGGTGAGAGGCACGTTCTGAAATATTTATGAGTGAGATGACAGAATGTCTGGGATTTTCTTCAAAAGAAATCAGGATGGGGGAAAGTGGGTGGAGGTGTACATGACAAGATTGGCCACAAATTGTTGGAAGCTGGACAGTGATTAAATAAGAGCTCATTTTCCTATTTGGGCCACTTTTTAATATGTTTAAATTTTTTCATTGTTAAAAAAAAAAAAAAGACTAATTGGGTTGTGCTCTGTTTGGACTGGAAAGGTGATGTAAAAAGCCCTCCATCGTGATTTAGACAGGAATGCAGAGGATCAATTTCGAGGCTGTAGCACCATCTAGTGTTGATTGCAAATACTCTACAAAATGAGGACATTGCCAGCGCCCCTCCTTGGTCTGAGGGCCTTTTGTGAGCTCCCCTGGCCTTTCCAGTCCCCTCACCGGAAGGCTGGGCCGAGGGAGCAGGGCCACCAGGCAAGGGCAGGTGGAGGGTGACGTGCAGGTTGTACACTCCACGCCTCCCCGCGGGTTTGGGGAAGCAAGCCGAGAACAGGAGTCATCGTGTCATGTGCGGCTCTCAAGGCAGGTGACCTTGCTGGAGGGTTCTCAGTGTGACCCAGGTGCAAAAATAGCCTCTCTTGTGACCGGTGTGTGCTCAGCTCTCCGGCCTGAGCAAACAGCCCCTCACACCTGCACACTGTTTACTCATAGTTACTTGTTTGCAGGTGCAAATGACTGTCTGTGTACCCAGAGTTGAGGAGAGGGCCTCCACCATCCTCTTCTCCAGCCACAGAACTAGCAGAACGTGCGGCCTTAAACCCCAGGGTAAGGGGCTAGGCTGATGGAAGGAGAGCTCTTACCCTCCTCCCCAAGTCCCCCCC